GTCACCACACCATCGCCTCACTCACACCTCTACCGCTACCCCACCACTCTGTCCGACTCACACGATATGTACACACATTCATCACCACATACGTACACTACCCAATTCACTACACCTACGCGTACAACCAACTGTACCTCATCCACATACGTACACACAGTGTACTCACACATCCTTACACACATGAACTCACACATACGTAATTACACAATGTACACACATGTACTACGATACTACACACATTGTTCGTCACACTTTCGCAAATATACACAACATCTTACACACATTTTCTACTCCACACATCACCATACACCCACAAGTTCACTCACAATACCGCTCCGACACACGTCCACACCAGTCACCTGTCTCACATACGTACCATCAGCATGTACTCACACATTACGTACACACATGTACCCCATCCAATAACTCACACATACGTATACACACATGTACACACATGTACGTCACACACATGTACCACACATGTACACATCGTCACACATACGACATCACATGACGTCACACATACGTACATCACTGTACACACGAGTTACACACAATTACACACATACGTAAACACATGACCAATCACGTACAGCTCATACACTACAGTGAAAACACGACACCTCGTATCCTATCACACAACTAACACAGTACCACACTACTACACCTGTACCCACACCATACGATAACATCTATTGTACTACATCTACTCACACCATGATCGTACCAGGACCATACATGAGTACACACCATGTACTCACAATGTACGTCCACACAACATGACTAAACTTACGTACACACAGATACACTATTGTCCTTACTCACACTACACAGACGTACTCACAATGACACACTGTACTCAACATACTGTACCATCACATTTTACTACATACGTACACATCATTGTACTCACAATAACGTTACCACCAAATGTACGTCCACACATACTTTACACACAGGTAACTCACTACATACGTAACCACATGATCACACATACGTATCACACATACGTACACACATTATCTTCACACATACTGTACACACATGTGCCCATTCTACTCACACGATACTAACACAAGTACCTTCACACATACGAGTACACACAGTACTCACAACAGTACACAGTGTATACTATACTAATCATGTACTCACACATACTTACACACATGAACTCACACATACGTATAACACATGTACACCCCATGTAGCTCACACATACGTACATACATTAATGTCTCACACATACGTACACACATGTAGCCACACATTACGTCACAGTCACACATACAGTACACACATATACTCCACACATACGTTACACACATGGTACTACACACAGACGGTACACACATGATTCAATCACATACGTAACACATGTACTCACACATAGGTACAACATTGTACACACATATGTACACACATGTATCACACAATGTACTCCCACATACTGCACACATCCAATGTACTCACACACATGTACTCACCACGACATGTAACAACACATGTATTCCACTCATACGTACACACAATGTTACATTTTCACACATGGTACTCTGAGTACACACATGTACTCACACATACTGTACACACATGACTCACCATACGTACACACATGTACTCACACATACTTACACACATGAACTCACACATACGTACACACATGTACTCTCACATACGTACACACATGTACTCACACATACGTACACACATTTTCTCACACATTCGTACACACATGTACACACATGTACTCACACATACATACACACAAGTACTCACACATACGTACACACAAGAACTCGCACACACGTACACACAAGTACTCACACATACGTACACACATGTACTTACACATACGTACACACAAGTACTCACACATTCGGACACACAAGTACTCACACATACGTACACACATGTATTCACACATACGTACACACATGTATTCACACATACGTACACACATGTATTCACACATACGTACTCACATGTACACACGTACCCATATGTACACACATGTATACACGTAAACATATGTACACACATGTACACACGTCACACATACGTACACGCATACGTACACACATATGTTCACACATACGTACACATATACGTAGACACATGTTCACACATACGTGCACACATTCCTACTCACATTCGTACACAGATACGTACACACACATACGTACACACACATACTTACACACACATACGTACAAACATGCATTCACAAAAACTAATGCATTCATACATAGACATTCACGCACTTGCAAGGGCACACACGCACGTATCACGCACTCGCACATGTAGGCACACATTGGATATCACACTCTGTGTTGAGATACCTCTGTCCTGAATGTCTCTACTATCCATATTTTAATTTTTGGAGAACAAAAGTAATTAATTTATTATAGTAATTTATAAATGTTTATACACTTGAATTCGAGACGAGTACTATAGAGCGTCGTGTTATTTGCGTAGAACGGACGCCCTCATCCAGACCACCATCCGGCGCAAGTTCGCCCACTGCACCGTGTTGACCATCGCCCACCGCCTGCACACCATCATGGACTCGGACCGCGTGCTGGTGATGGACGCGGGCACCGTCGCCGAGTTCGACCACCCGTGGCGCCTGCTGCAGCGGCCCAACGGCGTCTTCTCCAAACTGGTCAAGGAGACCGGCCCCCTGGCGTCCGTGCTGGCACGCGCCGCACACCAGGTACTCACACACACACACACACACACACACACACACACACACACATCCAATGAACAGAGTAACCGTTGCGATGCGAGAAATGTTAAGGACAATTACAAAAGGTTGTTGGGAGATATTACAAAATGGCCTTAAAAATAGGATTGCTTTTGAATTAGAGATGATTTTAAGTGGGTCGTCTGTAGCAGAATGTGAATATCTAAGTCTATTCCTTGACACTTCAAATTTCGTTTGTACGGTACAATTACAATGCTATCGATTGAACATAGTTAAGGCTAAAATTTTCTTAAGAAGATTTTTTACGTTCGTCTAGAAAATATCCAGCTATCTTTGAACCTTTCAATGCTTCTAAATGTTACAAATACAGTTTATTTCCAGAATAATTGAAATGTTTTTATTTGCTTTAAATAAAAAGAAGATTACTTCAACATCTACTAGTAATGTAGCAACGTACATGTAATTAATCTTGCACCGACACGAAGTATTCAGAGATCTCGACATTCATTTATTTTACGCTCGTAGAAGAATGAAACTTTCGCTACTTTAATTCTCCTCTTATAAGTGAAAGCAACACGTACATGCATATCTCATTTACTTCTTAAAACGTAAAAATAGTCTATCTTCCAAAGCAGCCATCTCAAACATTATCATACTCATACATTAATATACTCATAATATATTTAAACAATATGCTGTATGATTAATATTAACATCATACATTCAGTCCAAATTAGTAGTTTTACAATGTTTCTTTCTGATTATCGAAATTATAAATTAAAGAAATTAATTTCGCGTCCAATACGCAACAATAGAGTACATTCACTTCCCCTATGCTTAATAGATTAATTATGTTTGTGGAATGAGGTACAAGTGATGCATTTGGCACACGTGTTGATTCTGCTTAGTTATCTGACCATGCTACTCGCGCGTCGCCTGATGGCAATAGTTGAACTGAATTTCCATTCCTAAATTTGGAAGGGGTGCACAACAATATTAGGCAATGCTGTGCAATGTGCTTTGAACATTCACACGTCAGTGAAATGCGTTATGAAATACTGTAATTTTCTTCTGGCGAGCCGTTTGTCGTGCCCAACCTCTATGTTTACATGTTTGCGTAGAAATTCTGAAGAGAGATCTTTCGAGAGAAATACGAGATGTTTCGCATTGCTCTTAGCCAATTTCTGATGGGTAACCAAATTATAAAAATAAAGGGAAAAACTCTTTTATCAATAGAGCTTCATGTGTAGTTAACAAATGAAGTAAAAAAAAGAGAATTGGAGATAAAAAAGATTTTTCAAAACGCATTTCGCAGAATGTGTATATACAATATCTTTTAGAATTTACCTCCTCCCTGCTCCCGCCCCATCCCGGAAATTATAAATCGGACTTTGCAAGACGAAATGTAATTTTTTTTCTCGATTACCAGTCTATCTTATTGTTAGTCTGTTGAGAGCTATCCAGGTTGATCTTGTGCATGCATTTGTAGTTTCCTTTTACTTTCTTTTACTTCCTTACGAAATAAGATGTGATGCACGTTACCATGATAGGGGCTCTTAATGACGTATATTTACATAACTTACACACACGCACACATATATTATTATATATTAGAATATTATGAATATATATTATATATTATATGTTATATATTCATGTGTATATCATATGTGTGTGTGTGTATGTAATGAATAATTGGTGACCCGTGGATAATAAAACAATAAGTTACTTCATGACAATAAATTAAATGTTCATACATTTTAGTTCTCTATGAAATTTTTAAGAACAAAATAAGGACAGTATGTGGTAACATGAATGATTCATTCTGAACCTTACTAAAGAGCTGAAGTCGCTAACGAGCGTGCGTATTGCCGCAGGAGTACCTGAAGACGCACCCTGGCGAGGCGGTGCCCGCCCTGCTCGAGGAGGGCGGCGAGACGACGCGGCTGTGAGCGCGCCAGGCGGCGCCTCCCCACGAGCGCTGCGCACGAATACTCTTTCGCAAGTTCCGCCCGCCGACAGCATTCCTTGTTCGCACCCCTCTCCCTTCCTCCCTCCCCGAAGAAAGGCCGCAGCCGGACGCGACCAGCGCCGCTCGGTGGTGACGCAACCAACTACCCGTCGCTCCCGCTACGCCGAGAAGCCTGCTGAGAACTCCCTTTCGTTGTCTCGAAGACCACTTCCGACGTCTTGGAACTTTTCATTTGCAACGGACCAGGGCCGCGAGGAAATGTTGATTTGTTTACGTCCAAGACGTATCATATTTTAAACCGAAGATTGAATTGCTGTTCGAAATGGGTACTTTCTCTTTTACCCTTTACTGCGACTTGCTACATTGTAGTTATCTTTAATCAATCAAAGTTAAAATTCGAACTTTTGTATTACATACGTCAGTATTCATCAATATATCGAAGAATATGTGGCATTACAAATGATTGCTTCTGTATTAGAAAGTAATTTCGTGTGAAGAGATTTACTGGAATATATGTTACATATAAGATGCAATATTAATTTCAATTATTATAATAACTTCTATGCAATACAAGGACATGCAGAGGCCGCAAATGGGCTCTAAAATGTAGTAAATATGAGAAACGTTGAAACTAGAGATTCTGGAATGAATGTTTCATAAAATGAGCAATAGAAAAGAGCACTAGAAAAAGTGTAAAAGAGTTTTTGAATACATTTGATAAGCATATTCTTTTTGTAAATACACAGTATTTTATAAAACGTCTCGTTACGGGAGATGATGTACAAATGTAACACATCTGTATCTGGTGGCAGGTTACAAGATTATTACATTATCACCATGCATTTGATGATTTATTAAACTTCGACTCTTGAAAGGAATGTAGTAGAATGTTTCAACACGCACACAAGTCATCAAAGCCACCTTCATTTGAATTATTTAAAAATAATTTAAAGTGAGAAAAAAAAGAAAAAAAAGTCTTTGAAAGTTTGTGCTCTTTATGTTCATCTCAGTTGATATTAGGGATGGTTATGTTTTTAATTTAAAGCTGCTATCAGGTTTTATATATGTAATAATTGGTAAACGATTAATAATTGTTGTGTCTGTTTTGTAACACTTTTTATACAGAAGATCACTTTATTGTATATAGTCTGTGAGTGAACATGATTCTAGAAAAAAATGTTAATAAATAAGAAGTTCTCTTTGATTGATATATTGCACTTTTAAATTATCTTAAGTTATGAATATTTAATGAAGTGCATTCTAAATCAACTGCTGAAGTACATTGAATCCTTATTGCATTGCTTGTGTACTTTTGAGAGCAGCAGTGCCATTGAATTATTACTTCCAAAGTGATAATAAATTTGTTCTCTTAAATAAATTTTGATTTATCTATATGTCTCCAATGCATTTCCCTCATAACTTCAAACCTTATTCAACGAAATTTTAAAACACTCTTTAACTATAAGAACAACAACTTTTAAACGAGAGGAGCGGAGTTACTGATGACCCAATTCTTAGATGGCAACATTGACTCTCTTTTCGGAGTCCGTGTTTTCAGGATTTATAATCTGCGTTGTGCAGTGTCATTCAGCAAGTTGCTGCGACTTCTACTAAGGTACTACTGTTAGTAGTAATAATGATAACAATTTAATAATAATAATAATAATAATAATAATAATAATAATAATAATAATAATAATAAAGCTTGATATGTCTTGTCCAGCGAAGTTTTATTTTTAATTTTAATTCTTGGATAACTGATAATCAAATTCTTTTAGATTCTAACGAAGTAAAATATATTTTATTTTTGTTTGCTAGGAAAATCCTTGCGCACAAAAGAATAAACTGTAGAAAGGTTAGCACAGAAAAGAACTATATATGCGCTGTATGGAAAACCGAATATCTCCAAAATCTTGTTTCTTGTCGTACTTCAAAGCTATGGAATGAGGGAGATTCGGGAACTGAGGAACAAGCAATACACTATTCATTGTGAACATATATTTTTTAAACATGTTTCCAAAAAAAGTAAATGAAATAATTTATGTTTACCAAGCGCCGATCATATTTTTTAGTTTTTTAGGACAATTGTGAGATATTTCTTATTTTCATATCAACAGGAGAGGGGATCAGCGTAGTTGCTGCCTGCCCGCTGCTCGAGGAAACCGGGAAGCATAAGGTTCTCCCTTACGATACATTCTTGCCAAAAGAATCGACTCACTGCTACGAGAATATGCCGAACGACGACACGAATGCACGAAAATAGTAGCAGACACCTTTTATGTTAAGACACTACGTTATGTCTGTATATTTTTATAACGAGGCTCCACTTTGGGGTCTACGCGATTAATATAAAATATTCTTGTTTTTCCAATACACAATTCCATCGCATTTTATAGCATTTACGTTAGAATCTGTAGTTTGTTACAAAAACAGAAAACTAATTCAATACATTTTATTTAAGAAAATAGCTTACATTCGAGAAGACTTACAAGTTGCTTGAAATCGCTTACAAAAAAATTTTTTTTGCAAATTCTTGGTGCGTTCTTGACACAAAACCAACCAGACACATTTGAACTACGTAAGAGAACGCCCTCGCTCCCGTCTCTCATCCTTCCCTTCCGTCCCCGGGCAGGGAGTCGTGCAGTGACTTGAGGCTTCGCGGGGGCTCTGCGGCCGGCCGCGAGCGTCAGGAGAGAGATGGCAGCGTCGGCCGCTCCCCGGGCGGCGGGTACAGCGCCAGCTCCACCGACCACGGCACCACGCACAGCACCAGCAGCGCCGCCAGCGCGCCCAGGCACGCCGGGTAGCTGCCCGTCACGTCGCGCACCAGCCCTGCGTACATTGTATTATATTAATAATTAAGTAATTACTCGCGCGACTTTTCTTGAACGATGGATTGAAGAAATGCGGGCAGAATGGGGAAATTAGTTACGAAATTAGCCACTAGATTTTATAAAGCAATGCCAATCTCTGGAGAATCAGTCTTGCCTTCGCAACTTTCTCAATAATTTGCGTTTTATCTTATCTCAGGAGTTTGAGGTACATCCTGTGATGGATCTTGACTTGCTTTGGTCATTTCTTTAGTTTTTTGAAGAAAATCACGGACAGAAAATAAAAACACACAAACACGAGAAAACAGTTTCTATTATGAAGATGTGAAGTGAGTTCGAAATGTCAGTCAGTGAAGATGTGTTTGAAATGTCATCAGTACTCGCTGCGAGATTTTGCCTTCAACTGTTTATTATGCCAGAAAGGGAGAACAAAATCATCGTTCAATAGACGTTGTGCGATTAATGACATACAAGCACGTTTCCTTGAGCCTTAAAAAAAAAACATACTCCCCACTATTACACGTCGCACGCGCGAGGGCAGTATTAATACTGTTATTACTAATTACTATTGTATTATATTAATAATTAAGTAATTACTCGCGCGACTTTTCTTGAACGATGGATTGAAGAAATGCGGGTAGAGTGGGGGGTGGCACTAGTTACAAAATCGGCCACTAAATTTGATGAAGTAATGCCAATCTCTGGAGAATAAGTCATGCTTTCACAACTTTCTCAATAATTTGCTTTTTCACTTTCTCAGGAATTCGAGATTTCTCCTGTGATGGATCTTCACATGCTTTGGTCATTTCTTTATATTTTTGGGAGAAAATCACGGACAGAAATTCTCAAAGACGAGAAAATAGTTTCTATTTCGCGGCAGTGAAGATGTGTTTGGAATGTTGTCATTAATGCTCGATGAGAGATTTTGCCTTCAACTGTTTATTGTAACCTACAATTGCTGATTTTTTGTGAAGGAGCACATATTTCAAATGATTGTTGGAATTTGCGTTTACATAAACCCACTAATATTTGCATTTAAAATCACTTAATCCTCGAACCTAAAAAAATTGCAATCTCTCCGCTAATTATGACACACACTCATATGCGTCTGCACGCTGTTAACGGCAAAACTTCGAATGGTTTCAATTACATTCGATTGAAATGCGCACAACCAAGCCACGTAATTAACAAACGACGACATGAACAAACGACGGTAGATAAGCGTTCATTCTATTAATTTTAAGATATAATTAAAGTTTAGAATGTATATTATAAATCGGTTAATAATAGCAAATGATAAAACATCTGGGGCCCGATACCATTTATTTAAAGCAAAACTGAAACTGTTTAAAAAACATGTGTTTTGAATACAAATATTTTTGTAATTTTGACGTTTTAACGAAAATTGTTACGCTTTGCTTGGAATTGCAGTTTATACTATTCGAGAAAAAATTAAGAAAAAAATATTTAGCTGTTTCCCACAATTTAAAAAAAAGTCATACGGGCTTTATGTCAAATAATAATAATAATAATAATAATAATAATAATAATAATAATAATAATAATAATAATAATCAGTAATAGTTCCAATTGTAGAAGCTCACTCTCAAGCAATTCTATTATCTTGGTTGTATCTCGGTATTCGGTAGTAATAGTTCATACCTCATGTAAACTGCATGGTTTTGTAGGATAAATATTCACAATGTGAATTGTTATTCTGGTGTAAGAAGAGAACGAAAGTTTACACGGGACTGAAAAGCATAAGAATGTGAATGTGCGAGCCTATGCCACCACATGCACATTTATGTCTTTGGTGACAGGCGCGCGTTGGTAGTTTAGTTTGTATCACTCACTAGGGTGGCAATGCCATAGTTTAAATTATGGCGCAGATGACTTTCGCTTTCAAAATTGAAATTTTTTACTTTCTTGCCATTTCGTTTGTATATAGTTTAATTAGATGATTCACCTTCGACGCAGGGCCAGCTAAGATAATGGAAATGTCATTTCACCCATTCTTCTTCTGAGCAAAGCGTCTGACAAAAACATTTGTGGTTATCGACAGAATAATAGCCCCCTGTTCTCCCTAGCGTGATTTTCATGGAAACATACTTGTAAGTTAATATTTTTGACATTCAAGTTCATATTTTTATTTGATTTCGATAATTTTGATTTAAAAATGTTTTACAATGTGAATGTAAAAGAAGCATATATGCTAGACTATATAATATTTCATAAAATATAAGAATTCTAGTACGAATTCCATCCAATTTTGCCATTTCCTGTCAAGGCTATGTAATGCAACGTTAAGCAATACAATAAAATTACCTCGTAGTACTTAATCGTATTGCACGGAGGAAAATTGGAGTAATGCGAAATTTTAGTTTAAAAATGGAGGAATTCCCCGCCACATTCTCCATTGCAGGAAACCACCGCCCAGAAAATTTATTGCGTTCTGCTGCTCCTGACATTATTGCAAGCCCGTACAGCGAACAGTTGAGCGCCGAGCAAGCAACTGCGACTTTCAGCTGGCCGTGCGTCGCGGTAAAAAGTGGGCTAGAGTGGTTAATTGATTTAGTAGCGGGCCCGAAGCGCGCACTCCCTTCTTCACTACTTAATTAATTAACGTCGTGGATCTGCGAACCCACTCAGGGCGCCGCGCCCGTGCTACCGGGAAAGCGAAGCTGCGGCACGGGAAGAGGCAACGAGATGCAAGCCTCGTGGATCTCTCTGTGCGCCGCTGGCCGCTGCTTTGCGTGACCACCGGCGCACTCTGTATTCCGGCGATCCAACTAAATGCAATCGTGTCTGGCGGGTTGCGGATGGGTCAGGCGTATCGTCAGGGTTTTAAAAAGGAAGTTAAAAGTGCATGACAATTGGAATGCGCTGTTTCTGATGTTGAAATAACAAAATCTGCGTAAATTAAAAGTGTTCTATATCTTACGAATACTACTGGAAATTCTCATTATAAGAATTGTCTTATTTAATGAAGTTATTGCACATTTTTGTAAAATAAAAAAAAAAAGAAAAAAGAAATGAATGCGAACGTGCTAGAACTCATGGACAAAATCACTTAGAATATATGTGATTTTTAACCTTCAAATCATTATAAGTAATCAACTTTTGATATGAAATTATTTAAATAGGGAGTGGGTAAGTTCGTTTTAGGTGTAATAATATAAAATATTCTTCATCTTCCGAATGACTTTACTAGGGAGCACATTATTTTATTTAAGTTGAAAGACTTAAAGAAAACTGTTTGAAAATTCAATAAGTAGAAATGACGTACCAAAATTTTACTTTTAATTTCCAACATCGTATGCACGTTACAGTGATTAGTAGAGTAGTACATTACATTAAATACATTTTAGGGGTATGGAAACGTTGTATAGCTTTATTAAAAAAATATATATCCTTCCAAATTTTCTACATTAATGTGCATAATAATTTATTAGCACATATTAATAATAAATAATTTAAGTAGCCTTCAAGGTAGAACACAGAGTACGGTCCTGGTCAGGCAAACCAGCGGCGCACAGAGAGACAATGC